TTGTCCACAGGTTCGGCCGATCACGGCTCCCACTGGCCGCGGTTCGCTGCTCCAGGCCAATGGGGGCTGCAGGAAGCGGTGCGGGCCGAGGGATGTGCTGGCCGCCCTTCCCGCAGCCCCATTGGCCTGGAGCGGCGAACCGCGGCCAGTGGGAGCCGTGATCGGCCGAACCTGTGGACAAGGCAGGTAAACAAACTGGCCTGGCCTGCCAGGGGCTTTCTCTGAACAAGCGGTGGACCGGCTTTGAGAACCACTGCTCTACATGAGTTCTTCTCCTGTCATCCCCTATAGTTAGAGATTGTTCTAAACCCTGAAGCCTGAGGTCTTATATAAATCCATGGTACGCCCACATCTTGAATACTGCATACAGATGTGGTCTCCTCATCTCAAAAAAGATATACTGGCATTAGAAAAAGTTCAGAAAAGGGCAACTAAAATGATTAGGAGTTTGGAACGGGTCCCATATGAGGAGAGATTAAGGAGGCTACGACTTTTCAGCTTGGAAAAGAGGAGACTAAGGAGGGCTATGATAGAGGTATATAAAATCATGAGTGGTGTGGAGAAAGTGAATAAGGAATAGTTATTTACTTGTTCCCATAATATAAGAACTAGGGGCCACCAAAGGAAATTAATGGGCACCAGGTTTAAAACAAATAAAAGGAAGTTCTTCTTCACACAGCACACAGTCAACCTGTGGAACTCCTTGCCTGAGGTGGTTGTGAAGGCTAGGACTATAAAAGGGCTTAAAAGAGAACTAGATAAATTCATGGAGGTTAAGTCCATTAATGGCTATTAGCCAGGATGGGTAAGGAATGGTGTCCCTCTGGGGCATTGGCCACTGTTGGTAGACAGGATACTGAGCTGGATGGACCTTTGGTCTGACCCAGTATGGCCATTCTTATGTTCTTATGTTTTTATGTCTAACATCACAAGCTTGTAAAGTTAGCACTGTTGTTGTTTGATGGGGGGAGGGATAACTCAGTGGTTTGCGCATTGGCCTGCTAAACCCAGGGTTGTAAGTTCAATCCTTGGGGGGGCCATTCAGGGATCTGGGGCAAAAAATCTGTCTGGGGATTGGTCCTGGTTTGAGCAGGAGGTTGGACTAGATGACCTTCTGAGGTCCCTTCCCAACCCTGATATTCTATGATACTTCAGTGAGGCCATTTGATAGAGTGGAACTTCAATCTGCCTTTGTTTGCTCAAGATAGTCCTCAATTTCAACATTCATAATTTGGTCTGTGTTTTCCCAGATTTGGCGGTGTTTGGGAGAGGGGTTTGTTTCATGCCTATCTCTGTTTATTGTCTTTAATATAAACAAGGTATTTGCTAGATGATGGATCATAATAACCCGAGAAAAGATTGCAGGGATTAAGTAAGATTTTAGTTTTGCTTTGTTATACTTTTGTCAAATTCATTTTGCTTTTCAGAATGATACTGGTGGACAGCGTAGTCTTGTAAACAAGTGGACAACATTCTTGAAAGCAAGACTTGTGTGCTCAGTAATGGACGAGGATGGAACGGAGACATACTTTGATGAATTAGGTATAGCAGTGTAGTCTTTATGAAGTATCATCTATATCATGTTATCTCTGTATCTGTGACTATTTGAAAATCTTAACTTCAAATGAGAAAAGATATACCTGCGCTTAAGCCACAGATACTGGGAGTTAAGGACATCTGAATTTGATTCCCAGTTCTGCAACAAAATTCCTATGTCACCTTGGATAAGTCACTAAGTGTGAAATCTTGGCCCCATTTAAGTCTATGCCAAAAATCATATTGACTTCAATAGTGCCAAGATTTCATTATAAATTTCTTTGCCTCATCATCCTAATCTCTGAAGCAGAAATAATAATGCTTGACTATGCACTGGAGTAGTAAGAGGCTAAATTAATGTTTGCAAAACACATGGAGAGCGTCTGATAAAAGGAGAGATGTAAATGCAAAATATAATTGTTGCTGTTCCTACTGTTTATGCTCATGATTAAGATTTGCTTATAGTATTTTAAACTGTTTTTAGTATCAGTGTATCAGTTTTTATGTACCACTAATGTCCTTTTGATGACAAGACAGGTGCTCCTTTGGGTCATTTGGTAGAAGTCTCTTTGGAAGCAGAAGTTGTTGTTGATAATGATGAGGATACTAAATACTACTACTACTAAGTATAATTTCTTAGAATTTATGCACGCTTTTACATCTGCAAAGCTTTTTACAAACATTAACTAACTAACCCTCAGAACAACTGTGCGAGGTTCTGTTTGTGTAAGGTCTTATTAGGGTCTCCAACATAAATATGGGTTATTAACATCATGATCACATATCTAATGCTGCGTGTTTGCAGACATCTGATGTCTATGATTGTCATAGGCATGGTCACAGATCTGAACCCCATTTGTTGGACAGATAACCTCAGACAAGCTTTGTCTCAACTGGGGAGAGTGGGGTTGTCTGTGCATCACTCAGTAGGTAAAAATGACAAACTTGATCAACTGCCCCTGGCCTTCTTTAACTCAATGAATAGACTGTAGAGTCTTCTGCTTTGAGAAGCTAAGGACATAAATTCTATTTCAGATAAGATATATGTTGTTAGCTAATGAACCACATTCTAGGTCTGAATCTGACTCGTGCACACTGCTTCCACACTTGTGTAACTACACTGACCTCAGTGGTATTGCCCCTGATTTTCACCACTGTAAATGGGATCCAGAATCTCTGTGGCTATGGATTGTTACAAATGTTTCAGTGCAATTGTTTTGATTCAGAATGTAATGGTAGTTGAATCAAATCCTAATTTAATGTTCCATGTGAGTAAGGTTATCAGAATCTGATCCTGGATCTCTGTACTTTTATCCTATGATAAAACACCGTATGGTATATATTGCTGGTCTCGGTCCTTGAAATAAAGCACAAACAAGACCAAATTAAAAATTTAGAGGATACTTTGAGAGTCACCTTTCAAAAGCACTCTGCTCCCAACAGCTCCAAGACCCTGATTCATCAATCCACCCCTATTCAGCAAAGCACTTATGTTTAGCTTTGAGCATTAAGGCTTTTGGGATCATATTGGACTAGCAACTGAGCATGAGCTCCCCGGATAATGCTGTGGCAAAAAGGGATGACGTGATCCTTAGTTTTTCAAAAAGGCGACTGAGAGATGACTTTAGTGTTTCAGTACATTTATGTGAAGCAACTACAAAGTACTAAAGAGATCTTTAACTTATCAGGGAAAGGTATAACAAGAATTTGTAGCTGAAAGCTGAAGCCAGACAAATTCAAATTAGAAATTAAGCACAAATTTTTAACAGTGAGGGTGATTAACCCCTGGAAAAAACTCCCAAGGGAAGTGGTAGATTCTTCTAGCCTTAAATTCTACACATCTTTGAAAGCACTGTAACTTCAACTCCAGTGGGACTTAAACATTTGCCTAATGTTAAACACATGATTAAATGCTTTCATGAGTTAAGGTCCTGCTGAGAAGAATGGGAGAAGATGGGTCCTGAGCACATTTGAAAATTTGATCCTTTTATTTATGTGTCTAAATAGGGGCAGTTGTGTATTGAGTTCATTTGAAAATCTGGCTCAGAATGTGTAAATGCTAGTTTTACTATGACCAACCTTAAATATGATGGGTCCGACCCTGCTTCCATTGAAGTCAGAGACAAAATTCCCATTGAAGTCAATGGGAGAAGGATGGGGCCCTAAATTTGAGGTTTGAAAGTCAAGCTAGAGCAATTACTCAACAGCTGTGTTCTTTCTTTCTCACAGAGGATGTATTTCTCCTAGAAACAGATAACCCTAGAACAACACTGGTGTATGGAATTTTTACAACATCAAGGTAATTTTGAAGATTTGTAGAGGCAGCCTCTGTGAGCGGCCTCAGTTCCAATTCCATATAAACACAGACAGAGGTATTTTGTGTCAAGGCAATTGGGATTGAATGCATTACTAATATATCCCGCAACTATCATTGCCACCTAGGAGACGTCCTTTCAATCCCGCTTATTCTCATCAACTAGAAGCACAATTACTTGTGATCTCTGTAGACGCCATATTGATCCCTGGTGTATTTCAATACAACTGTACCTGAGATAAATTTCCTCTCTGCTCCCAGCTTTCTAAAAAATATATTGAGTAAATGTTTCCTGTTGTCTCCATATGTTTATTAGATAGCAGGGAAGAACAAGGACATAGTGTGTGATTGACTTCAGTGGCAACTGAGGATTCTCAGCATCTCATCAGGGGTCCTTAGCACCTGAAACATCAAGCCCAGAATTCCTAAATAAATTCATGCTAATAGTTCCCAGTCTCATAGTTGGCAGGTTATTCCTTATGCCATTGGACTTTGGCTCCCAAAAGGCACACTTATATCCTGTTTGATCAAGTCCTTCCTTAATCACAACCTGAGTCTTCAGATCACTGCAAAACATGGGCACTCCTCATCTCTTGGCAGATAAGGGCCCACCTTGCTATAAGGACAGAATGGATAGTTATTTGAGAAAGTTCAAGTTTTCTTGTTAAGTTTGCTGGGACAGTCTTTCTGAGAAACAACAGATACTAACTTTACTTGTATTTTGATGTTTTGGGTTTTTTTGCTCTTGGTTCTTGTCTCAATTATCTGAACAATGGAAATGCTACTGCCTGTCTGTCAATGTATTTCTAATACATACCTTGCTGTAGCATTTCAGTGCCTTATATTTCTGTCCAATACCTGGACCTGACCTGTTAGAAGTTTTTTTGTTGAAAAATAGAGTTTTGTTGAAAATGACTTTTTTTTTATTTTCTTTCTTTTATGGAAAATTTTTGAATAAAATGAAAAAAAAATCATTTCAGTTGAACATTTTCATGTGAGAAAGTGTCATTTCCTGACCATGTCAACCACCACGATACTATATGCCCCATATATGCCAATTCTCAAGCTTACATATAGCCAGGAAAAGGTAGTCTCATAATATTTAGGTGAGGGGGGAAAAAACCAACCCTGTAGCTTGTAAATAGCTGAGGCTATCTATACTGTATGACTCTTATAGCACAAGAAGAGAAAATGCTGAGGCAATGTTTAGCGATAAAAATCACACTTATGATTATGTTATGGATTCAACATGTCTGAGTTGGAAACTGTTCTATCTAAATCTCATGGTATTCCTGCAGTGGAAATTGGGGTTGAGTTTAGGCACCATATAACCAAACTGAACACTTGGTCTATTCCAGGCCCTCTAGACATTTTCTCACTTTATACAAGGCTTTACTTTTGTCTAGGTTTCTGTTTCCACAAACCACAAGACTTCTGTTTGTTTGTTTTTACTTTCGATTGAACATGTTGTGTAATTAAACCTAGCAGTCATAATGAATTTCATCTACTAGTACTGCCCATATCTTTTTCACCTCTGCAGACCCCAACCTGAGAACAGTAATTGGAGAAACAGGCTACGAGATAAAAATAATTATAACTTTAATTAAATTATATTGGTCTAGGCTGTGACTGACGTGAATTATTTTTATAGCAGGAACTATTATAAAACTAATAAAGGTGCATTGTCTGCAATGATCAAGTGCATCCTTTAAACCTTATCTTATGGCTCCCATGAATACCGGGGAAAACATCATAAACCAATTGTGAGGAAGAGAGAGTTCAGACAACAGATGTGGTTATAATGCATCTGAGGGCTTTCTCAAGGTAGTACTTGTGGTATAGAGCAATGGTGATTACTCGGTAATGTCCTGTAGCAGTTACCACATTTTCCTCTTTAGTGATTTTACCTGTTCAGTGCACAACAAAGAGCAATTTCGATTTTCCTCATCTCACTCTTAATATTGAGCAAATCTGGAATGTTTGGATGTTCATTTCTGAATAAACATCCAAAGTGTGCCTTCCCCCCCCCCCTCCTCTAACACATACATTGCACCCTTTCACACAGTGGACACAGAAGGGGGCTGTTAATATCACAGCCAATGTCTTAGCTTCTGAAGATCATCTCCTTGACACTGGAGATCATCCTTAATGGAAAGTGCTAGGGGCATGTGCTGGCTGCAAAGTCCCTGGCAATAGGGTTCCACAGCACCAAGGAACCCAGACAGAGCCTCAATGAGCCCCGATTAATTCATAGATTCATAAATTCTAGGACTGGAAGGGACCTCGAGAGGTCATCGAGTCCAGTCCCCTGCCCGCATGGCAGGACCAAATACTGTCTAGACCATCCCTGATAGACATTTATCTAACCTACTCTTAAATATCTCCAGAGATGGAGATTCCACAACCTCCCTAGGCAATTTATTCCAGCGTTTAACCACCCTGACAGTTAGGAACTTTTTCCTAATGTTCAACGTAGACCTCCCTTGCTGCAGTTTAAGCCCATTGCTTCTTGTTCTATCCTTAGAGGCTAAGGTGAACAAGTTTTCTCCCTCCTCCTTATGACACCCTTTTAGATACCTGAAAACTGCTATCATGAAGGCACAGGGCGTTTGCAATTGGATCCATACTAATCTCCTGGGATCCCTGGAGTTAGTGGGTCAGAACCCTAGTTTAGGCTGTGGGAAGGTCAAACCTCACCACTCCTGAGGAAGAATGTATAGGAAACTCTGCAAGGGGAATCACATGAAGTTTCCTGGCCTCTACGGGGGTGTTTGCATGTAACACCATGATCTGAGCCCATATTAGAACACTGATTACAGTATTCTAACTGCACTTAATTGTGATTATTGTTTTAATGAATGTTCTATCCAGGTGTTTTATAAGGCAGCTATGGGCTCTCATGGGCTGAGGGCCAGGAGAGATGTGTTCTGTTTCCAGTTTAACCACACAGAGAGTGTCAAATCCTGGTCTCACTGAAGTCATTTCATTGGGAAAAGGTTATGCTCTCATGTGTACAATATAGGGGAAGTGATTTAACCAGTCATCTGTAAAATAGGGATGATAATACTTTCCCCTCTCATTGGGAAGATAGATACTCTTTGTGAGGAAAATGTTACCTAGCCTTACAGGTTAGTGCTGTGTATTGTGAGGGTAAATTAATGTGTGCAATGTTCTTTGAGGTCCTTGTATGGAAGATGCTATAGAAGTGCTACATATTATTAAATGTGTTATCTTTACGGGCAACGTTGCATAGATTCATAGATTCTAGGACTGGAAGGGACCTCGAGAGGTCATCGAGTCCAGTCCCCTGCCCTCATGGCAGGACCAAATACTGTCTAGACCATCCCTGATAGACATTTATCTAACCTACTCTTAAATATCTCCAGAGATGGAGATTCCATAACCTCCCTAGGCAGTTTATTCCAGTGTTTAACCACCCTGACAGTTAGGAACTTTTTTCTAATGTCCAACCTAAACCTCCCTTGCTGCAGTTTAAGCCCATTGCTTCTTGTTCTATCCTTAGAGGCTAAGGTGAACAAGTTTTCTCCCTCCTCCTTATGACACCCTTTTAGATACCTGAACCCTTTGTGATGATGGAAAAGGTTATGTAAGAAATGGCAGATTGTGGTGCAAATATTTTCCTTGTTTTTTCCAGCTCTGTATTTAAAGGTTCAGCAGTGTGTGTGTATCACTTGTCTGAGATCCAAACAGTGTTCAATGGACCCTTTGCACATAAAGAAGGTCCTAACCACCAGCTAATTCCATATCAGGGCAGAATTCCATATCCACGACCTGGCACAGTAAGTACTAAAGATGTTTATGCAAGTCAGGCTTGGCAACTAATTGTCTTTGTTTAATATAATGAAATATCATAAAATTGGTGCTAAAGCACAGACTATAAATTATATCTAAAGTTAGTTGTAATTCAATCTATCTGCCTGCCTACTTATTTATCTATCATGCACATCACTATAATACCTGAGAACTATTAAAATTATTAAAAAATCAATCTCTCTCTCGCTTGCTTTTTCTGTCCAGCAGGTAGAAGTAAATTATTTCATTAGATGTCTGTTATTTTTTTAAGAGCATGTGTATATTTGAGAGAGTGAAAGAAAGAAACAAAGGAAGACAAGGGGCTAGTAAGAGAAGCCAAGTTGAAGAGTTTTATATTTCACCCTGATCATTCTTGCCTCTTATAGTATTGAGTTCTATATTTTAGGTCCAATGCCCATAAAAGTCTGTCTCCTGCGCTCATGAATCTTCCCCAATTTTCAACAGTTTCATTATTCCAGTGGAACATTGAGTAGCTGTGGTGGGAGGTCATGGTTGCTGAGGGAGAGAGTGTCTCAATTGACAATGCTAATCCCATGGACGGTATTGAGAGTTAGAAAAGAGCCCTTGAAATGGACTGTGTGACGGATGAGAGGCCATGATAATCTTTTCACAGCAACCTGTGTTGCTGCTTCTTTTTGTACCAGTTGGAGCTCTCTCAGGGCTTTGTTTCAAGATATAATGAGATTCAATAATCAGCCTGGAGATACTGAATGCATAGAACGACATGGCCAGGTCTATGCCTCAAATCTTGTAAGGATTTTTTATAAAATTGGATTGTGCCCTTTTTTGTACAGGTAATGTATAGAGAAGGCCTGCAATAAAAAAAAAAAAAAAAAAAATCCAAAAACACCCTCTCCCCGCAAAACTGCTTGAATTTTACTTCAGAAATATCAGGAGTCTTCTATTTTTACTGGAGAGTCTATGGAGGTTCTCAGAGATGTTTATTCTAAGACCTGGCATCTTAACTGAAGAGTTGCACTATTGTATCTTTAACTAAAAAAAGCCTTTCTCTAAACTGTTCGATATTCACCTGAGTTAAATAGTTGCTCCTTATGTCATAAAGAAGAAAAAAGGGCTCCCACCTTTCACACCACCTCTTTATTTATTTTAACTTTTCCCTGTCAGAACAAGACCCTTTAACCACATGTCCATGTAACAGTCCTGCAAATATTATACCCTCTCTTAGTGCTTGCTCTTCTGCCTGAGGAAATGGGGTAGGCAAGTGCCTACTATGCCCACCGTGAGTAGCTGTCATTAGTAATGAAACTCTTTGTGGGCTACAGATCAGACAGGCTCCAATCCCTGTACAGGCCTCAGGGGACTTTGTAGCCTTGTCAGGCAACCCTGTGCACTGTGGCTTAAACTGTCCCATGCTGTTCTCCTCTCCAGAAAAACCCTCATACTCTGTTCATAACTCTAGCAGCATCTGCTTGTTGTATCATATTTGTGATGAACATCTCAGCTCTTAGATATTGGCACCATAGCAACCTTTCATTGTTTCTGAATTGACAAATGAAAATACTTTTATTAGCGATGATCATTCATGAGGTTAATTACCTATGAGAGCACTGTAGATAAACTTAGAACTGAAGCATAATAGCTGATAATAGTGGTGACAAAAGCACAGAAATTGATTAGCCCAGTATAATATAACAGTAGTGATTGTGTAACGCCGACAGACCCCGGTTGTCAGCGGGCAGGATTGAATTGGGGACCTCTGGAGCTTAGTGCATGAGCCTCTACATCTTTCTCTCTCTCTAAGTGGTCCCCGTGCCACTAGATGGGACAGAACACCACACCCAGGAGGTGTGTGGGTTACAACTACACCTGGGATTTGCAAAAATAAAAGTCCCAGGGACAAGAGAAATGTAATTCTTTGTAGCTTTGGGAATATCAGTTCAGCCTCTTATGATATTACTGGCTGTCAGATTTAGGCCTTTCATGTCACAAAATCTTTTCAGAGTTTGTTAATAAATACCTGATGTTCCGCTGGGGTTGAATGGTAGCATTCTTGCTTGTGATTAATTCAAACAGTCTTAATCGCCTGGGTTCACTGTTACTTTAATTTTACTGTTTATGAAAATATAAAATAAATGGCTCATTTAACCAGGAAGTTTCATGCTCTGGTGATTAGTCACATTTCAGTGTTTCTTGCTGCTTCAGGAGTATTGTATCTATGTATTTTTTCAACCACTGTCATGTTATTCTTGGTTCATCTTATGAAGGCTTGTGAAGTATTCCAAATGGGGCTAAACACAGTAAGGAATCAGGCAGCACAAAGGAAAGGAAAATTTAACTTAGAATTGGGCTTTACATAGTGGCAAAAATTGTCTAAAGTTATCAGATATGCTGATGGGCTCTGAGTTTGAAGGATCCTAAGAAGAAAGATTCTTGGGGATTGTTATGGACACCTCAGTATTTGCATTAGTTCAGTGTGAAGCTGCAATGAAAAGAAAAGCCAGAAAGATGGTTTGGTACATTAATAAAGAAAGGCGAAAATAGATAGTATAATATAAGGACATGATTAGTGACAAAACTGGAATGTTAAAACCAAAGCTCTGCACATTTCTAGGGGATTGGAGAGTTGGATCTGAATCTTCTGACTGGAACTCGTCCCTATATTTTTTCTTCGGGTCAAATCCAAACCTCAAGTAGCCGGGTAGTAGTTCAGAGAAGGCCATGAGAACAGCTATCCAAATCACCCCATGTTGAGCGTTCAGCCAAATTTTCCCCCTTATGCTGCCAGTTTTTCCAAGACAAGACATGACTGGACTCTAATATTCTTTCCCCAAGACTCTCCAAATTCTTCTACACAAAAGTCTTTTAACAAGCCATTACGCAAACACACAAGGAAGCGTGTCACTGATTTTCCGTTGTCATGTCAGCCAATTCCCATGGTACCTCCATTGTTCTGCATAATCCAATCCAGTTCAAATCAGGACAATAATCTCATCAAATTTGACTAAACTCTGCATCCTTATCATGTGAAACTGCCTTATCCTCTCATCTGTTCCCCTGATGCTTCTCCGCAAACCACCCTACTTCATCACAGTCACTAAACAAAACATTTTCTGACATGAGATTTCTGTAGCTTATCTCTGCTCTTCTCCATTGGCAGAAGATTCTGTCTCTGACATCATGGAAGGATTAAGGGTTAAATTCTATTTCCCACTGAAGTCAGTGTAGGTGCAGCGCCTTTGAAAATATGACCACTTTTATTTAGAAGCTTAAATGTATATTCAGATGCCTACTTTTGGGCATCCAAGTTCAAAAAGTTTGGCCAAAATGCATTCTGGGTTAGGAGCCGCTTTCCTGCTGAACACCAATATTAGTCACTGCCAGGATGCTAGATCAGAAGGACAAGCAATCTGACCCAATACGGCAAATCATATGTTCCACTTGCGTAAACAGATCTTTCAAATTAAACATTTTGATATAAATGCACTTACAATCAGCCAAAATGCTGTAACTGTAAACATCACAAATGCTTCAGCATAGCTTAAATGGAATTAAATAAAGTAATGCATTCGCTAGGCCACCGTCAGGCTCTGCAGTCTTTGGCTGCCCCTTTACTACATACCAATCATTTCTTATATCTTCCACAAACTAAAATTACTTATGGAAAAACTTTTATGACATAATTGGCAGCTTCCTACTACATTCAGAGCTGTTTAAGGGTTGTTTCCATTATCCAGACTTTACAGAAATATTTTTGTACCCATAGCTTGTTGAAGAATGTACTATAAACCAAAGGGTTCCTCTCTTCCTTTAGTTCATCTCTAATGTGTGGGGCTATCCCAGCAGGCTTGTGGGTGCAAAATGTACTGTGAGTGCAGTCACCATATGGTTAAATCATCTGTAGGGTGGTGAGTGCAGCAGAGGTACACTCAACTCTCTGAGGAAGGGAACAGCTCATGTTGTTCTTCAGTGACTTCTCTGTTTGGCAGCGGAGAGACACAAGCGATGAAGATTTCTGAGTCCAGTCCTTCATGGCTAAAGGAATAATTTTCATGACATGGGTTTTTAGGTTGGTAATAGAGGCAATGAACTGGTCCAAGAAGGATGTCTGGGACATGCCTGAAACAACTATCTAATTATCCAGCTGCAATTCATGAGGATTTATATGCCAGGATGGGAATAAATAGAGACAGTTGAATCTGGGAATACACAGGAAGATGGCCTAGGATCTGTGAGGCAGGAAGGTGGGGAACATATGAACGGCCATACTGGGTCAGACCAATGGTCCATCCAGCCCACTCTCCTGTCTTCCAGCAATGGCCAATGCCAGCTGCTTCAGGGGGGATGAACAGAACAGGCAATTATCGAGTGATCTATCCCCTGTTGTCCACTCCCTGCATCTGGGAAATCTGGTCTAGAAGACAGAAAAGGTACCTGTCTTCTAAGGAAGGAGTGCAAGAACAGGTGATATTGGTCTAGGATGCAGGTGGGGAGGGGGCTCTCTGACATAGATCTGGGAGTGCCTTTGAGTTTTGGGGTGCCTTGCCAAGAATCACCTTACTTGGAGCCCTCAAAAGCCTGTAGCCATCCCTGTTTGTCAGTGCTAGTTACAAATTTCTGAAATTTGCCCTGTGTTTCCTGGAAAATGAAAGGCCCATGAGCTGCAGAAAGCCAATAGAGTTCTAGAGCAGCAGGAAGTTAAGGAGTTGGCTGGGGCTGAGAGAAGTCCCTGCACAGCACAGATTTCTATATTGGAGTTGATTTCTCCTCTCCCTGTCTTCTTCCCCACATTTCCCCTGGATACTCACAGCCTGTCAGCTCTCTAAGACTAGAATTACTCCCCTGTGAGTACCCAAGGGGACTGATAGATCACAGGATTGATCAATGGGATGGTTCTTCATTCAATGTAAAGGAAGTTTACATTGGGTTGGCTAGAGTTGGGTGGGACTCTATTATCCCAGATTGCTGCGGGGGGAGGGGCAGGAGGGAACCTGTCCCTAATAACACCTCTCTCTATGGGGTCTTACCATCTCTATCCCACCAACCACAAAATATTTTTTCTTTGTAGGGGGGATGAGCCATCTGCCCCTGGGGTCCTTTCATTGTCTCACAATCAAGGAATGAAGGTGAAAGGCAGGGAGGTTCTGCTGTCTTTGTCCCAAAGTTGTACAGACATTGAGTGAGAACTCTCACTTTAGGATGCTAGAGGAATCTTTGAGCTCAGTGCATCTCTGTTGTTATTACCAACATCCATTTGGCACACTTGGAATCAAGCTAGGGTGTGGGGACCGTTACTGGCAGGTGTGCAGTACCTAATCTGGGCAATAACCTTCACAACTGGCAGGGCCGGCTCTAGGGTTTTGGCTGCCCCAAGCAGCCACACACACAAAAAAAAAAAGCCGCGATCGCGATCTGCGGCGGCAATTCGGCGGAAAGTCCTTCCCTCTGAGCGGGAGTGAGGGACCGTCCGCCGAATTACCGCCGAATAGCTGGACCTGCTGCCCCTCTCCGGAGTGGCCGCCCCAAGCACCTGCTTGCCAAGCTGGTGCCTGGAGCCGGCCCTGACAGCTGGATAGCTTGGAAAATTTGTGGGGCTTTGGAGGACAGGGTCATTGTAAGGCCTTTTCCTAGCACTCTACAGAAAGCTACAGATTCTTCTGACAAACCCCTGGCTCAGAATTTACCTGTCAAATGTCTCTTCATGCCTTGATGAGATATAGGGTCAAATCGTGACCTCCTCACATTTTACAGGGCCCTGAAAGCAGCAGAACTCTAGAGCTAGATGAACTGCACAGAAGCTGCCTTGTAAACCCTGTGCTATGCAGCAGTGTATTGTGGGTGACTCTTCCAATGGTAACATAGATAGGTGCAGGGCAGGGGTGTGGCCATGTCACTTGTTTACATGAGTTGTGTGTAGCAGGCCGAAATTTGAGCCTGATTCAGGAAAACACGTAAACATTCTTAGCTTTCAGTAGTGCTTTCAACCCGAGTTAACTGGCCTGGCTGGGGGTGTGGGTTAAAGCCCAGATACTGTTTCCATTCGGGCTGGGTACCTACCCACTTTGCAGTAAGGATGCAGGCTAACTCACCTGTGGGCTGAGGGTGGGTGTAATACCTCCAGTGCCTTCCACCAGTCTCCTTGTCCGCCCAGTTCTCTCACGAGTCACTGGGAAAGAAACACAGCATGGCTCAGCTTATTGCACCAGAAGTCCTAGTGAAATACACACGTGAGCACAGAACCAGTGAGGACACAGTAACACAAGAATGGCTTTGCAGTGTGGCTCCTCACACCGGGGTTAGGCTACCCTAGGTACTCATGTAGAGTCTCAAAGGATCTGGGAAGGCTCCTTGCATTTTCTCCCTTCTTGTGCATTTGCACAGGGTTTGTCCAAATCTAGCCCTATGTGCACTGAACAATTATAACATACAGCAGAGGTAGGTACCTAGTTAGGCATCTAAATATACCTGTTGGCCTTTACATCTATTTTTGTACTACACATAGGCAAGATCTTTGTATCTTTCCCCTTACCAGTCACTTGCATTCTTTGCAGTGAGAACTTTGGGAGCTCAAGGAATGCAAAAATAAGGCCCCCCCAAGCATGGAGCATTGCCATCAGCCTAGCTTTTAACAACACACAAATATGTTTGTTTGTTTTGTCCCAAGTGAGGGCGGTTTATAGACATAGTTATTAGAGTACAGCTTTTCCATTATATAAATATAATCATTTTCACATGGAGTATGAAGTGTTTTTTCAAAAAATGTTACCATGTCGCCTGAACATCAGTCAATGTTTGTGGATAGATTGAAGACAAAATATCCTTGATAGATGCTATGCATTGTTAAGCATTATTATGAATGCTTCCTCACAGTGTCCTGGAGGAGCCTTTACACCCAACATGCGGACAACCAAGGAATTCCCCGACGACGTTGTGACCTTTATTAGGAATCACCCCTTGATGTTCAATCCCATTTACCCAATACACAAAAGGCCATTAATCATTCGGACAGGAACAGACTACAAGTATACAAAGATAGCAGTGGACCGAGTTAATGCTGCTGACGGACGATACCATGTCTTATTTCTTGGAACAGGTAAGCTGCACTTAACAGCAGATATGCATGGAATTATTTTATTTATTTAGCTTTCATGTACTGCATTGTAGTTTTTAGTCAACTCCAAACCCTGTACAGCCTATTGTCTTCACAAGTGCTTATTAAAACATAATTACTATATATGCACAAATATGTCTTAAGAGCTATAATCAGAACAAAAATACAAAGAAAATAAAATGAATATTTATTGTAAAAAATAGAATGGTTCTCATCAGCGACAAAAGCCAACTTTGTTGTGTGCAATGTATGGTCTAGATTTACTCACCCTGAGTAGCATCATACCCATGAGTAGTACCATTAACTTTCATGGATTAATGTACTATTTTCCAGGAGTAGGAATATGGGAATCTGACATTGTATTATTACTAATTGCAATCATCATATGAGGTAAGCTGCCTGTGAAAAGAATGGTAACTTGGCCAGAAAGTTACAGGGGCAGAAATAACAACTTCACAGTAATGTAAAAATATAGAGGGTTTTAGCAAATAGAAAAGGGCAAACTGTAGTTCTAGTGGGACTGTGCTGTAGGACTTTCTAAGTCTGATTCAATGATTACAAATATTTCCTTTATAACATAACAAACCAAATTCTGCTCTCAGTTACACCAGTGTGAATCTGTAGCAATTCCATTGAAGTCAATGGATGTCCTGAACTGACCCCAGTGTAACTGACAAGTCTAGTGATTTTCATTAAGAACTGTAAGGTTAGAGGATAATGATCCAATTTACTTTTCAAATTTATTGGGACATGATTGGAATTGCAGAGAACAATCAATCAGTGTCAGGGAAATTGACTAAAGTAGATGATCTAGGGCTGGATCCTGAAAGCCCTCTGCATCTGGAACTGCCATTGACTTAGTGGGGTGCTGTGCTTGTGAAGGGCTTGGGGACTGGAGCTCTGATAAACTACAATCCAGTCTTCTTGATTCTGTTTGTTAGCACAGAGCAGTTTCAACTAAAAATAAGGCAGATAATCCTATGAGAACAGGTTTGTCTCTGAACATCAGACAAGTCTTATAGAGATGTGGAACTACTGTTTCTGACAACAAACTACCATTTAGACCACATGGGTTTGTGAATTACCATCCTTGTATTAGACTCAGGAAGCCAAGGCTAAAAATCTTTCAAATCGCCAGACTTTTATGAGGAGGGGATTAAAAGAAACTCTCTTCACTCTTCTTAAAGCAAGTCCCCAACCACCAAAGGAAATAAGAATACAGAAAAGCTCTGTTATTGTTCCCATGGCAAACCATCACCAAGGGCCTCCATTCACTATGTCATGATTCATCAGAATGACACTCACTCTCTCTAGTGGCTAGTGTACATCATTATAAGGCATGGCAGTGATAGAAGATGCATAGAGCTTTGGGTATTGAATTACGGTAAGAATTTAGTGAGCTTTGGATCTGGGCACTTTTATTTTTCTTGGCCATCTGATGCAAAATTAGTTTTAAAATTGCCTTAAGGTCTCTTGGCTTTCTTTAGTTGTCAGGTCATCAGACTAAATAAGAAACTAATTACTAATTAAGACACTTTTTTTCCTAGCAAGTATCAGCATTACTAGTAGGCCTAGTGAATCCAATGACAACCCGGGACCTTTGGATCCTTCAGGGTTTAATTTGACACAGTAGGTCCTATATTGCCTTTCCTATGGAAGAAGCAAAGAAGGGTGCTGTGCATGCTACTGTGGAAATCTCTAGAGGAACGCTTATACGTGCCCTCCCTACTTATTGTTCACATGGATTAGCATCAGCCATGTCTAAACAAACAAACAAAAAAATCTTGGTCTTCTACCAGCATAGCTTCTCCGTGCCAATTCACTGTTTTTAAACCACACAAATACTTTGGCATGCAAGAATAGAGCTTTCAAATGAACATTTAAATGTCAGTATAGTTTTTAAACTAGTATCATTTGTCTAAACATATGATTTTTTTAACTAGAGGAAAAAATACAGCTAACGATTAATTAAGAAGCCAAGCCATATAAGTCTCCAGCTAACACAAGGTACATGTTATATCAGTTACAAAATATGTAGTAGTAATAATAATGAATAATGTGCTGTACATATAAAGTGCCTTACATTTATGAAGCTTTGGACAATAATGATATTTAGCATTTCAATGGTTCTTTCCATCTCAGGTTCTCAAAGCACTTTACTAACTTTATTAAACTGAAACTCATGAATGATGTCACCGGTTTTAATGATGAACAATAACTTAGGACCCAATCCAACTTGAGTCAATAAAAATACTCCCAGTGACTTGAAGTGGGAGTTGGATCAAGTCTCAAAGTCAACTACTGAATATTAGCAAATTACTCCTCATCAAATTCCATTGAGGGGAATAAGTACAGGCAACCTCATTGTATAGCTTGGTTAGGCGTCACAGAGAGCAGCTAAGTGACTCAGCCATGGATAAACAATGAGCGGGTGGCTCATTAAAGGTACTAAATTACCTGGGCTGGTTATATGTGTTTGTTTTCGTTCTATAATCTGCCAGCACACCCTCCTTGCAGGATTTCTAACCCTATGGTTCTATGATTCTATGAAATCCAATATAGTGCACTATCTCAAAGAGTTAAGATTAGAGCCACAACTACTGAAATAATAGACTTGATGCCCTGTGATATGTACTATTTATAATTTCTGCTAGTCTATTTTTTTTGGACGTTACAATTCCTGGGTGATGCAGAGATTCTTCCTAAGATGCTAATAGCTTCATAGCCCTGCCATAAAATAAACAGATATGACATAGGTACAGTGCCTCTCAACCCTTGTAAATACAAATGATCGAGTTTCTGTCTCTGTGAGGAAAGACTCTTTACCCTTTTCCTTGGCTCTGTGCTTTCTGTGAGACTCAGGAGGATTCGATAAAGATATTAACAGTCAGAAGAAATGCAGAGGGGGTTTCCTTTTATGTAAGTTCATCCTGGAAAATGCAAAACACACATTGTATAACAGAGTTTCATTTGATAATTTCTTGGGAGCCCTGAGCCCCTCAGCAGTGGAGAATGGGATTTGTCACCTGGTGACAATTACACTCAGTCTCTGAAGCTTAGTTACTGCTGCTGAACTGAGATGTTGCCAGTCACGTCTGTCACTGTCAGTGACCTGTCTCATGCTGCAAATTGGAGTGTTTTATGTCTTGCCAGATGCAGAGCACAAAAAATGTTTAGCTTCCCCCCTCCTCCTCCTTGAGAGTCTCAGTAGTAAATCAGTTCCTGAGTGCAAATGAACGATAACAAAAGTAGCTCTAGGAACCCCTGTATTTTTCATCATGTAGCCATGGCACAGGAAGGGTACAGACAGCCATGTCTTTTTTTACATTAACGTGAAATAAATGTAATATTTTCTTTGCTCCCCCCAGCCAGGCATGTCAAACTCACTGTAACTGTTCCTGGCCAAGAGTTAATTTCAGTACAGTACTTCTTTTCTAAGCTACATGACTAGTGAAATAAATCCCCTAGACTGACATTGTTCTTGAAACATTACACACAGCTTTTCTAATGATAACGATCTCGCATTTACGCTGTGCCTTTCATCCTGAAGAATCCCAAAGCACTTTACAAAACCTGCCAGCCTGATGCGAAGGCTTGACACGATGGGGATCTCTACATCCACCACTGAAATGGAGGTGCCTCGTGGGGTGAAAAGCAGCAACTGTTTAGCGGTAGATAGACAAGTGTAGAATACCTTATCTTCCCAATAGAAACCACAGCTGTAATTAGCTGGTCATCGTGTAATTACCCATTTGCATATTTGACAACGACAATGAGGCTAATACCCTTTCCTCTATGTCGTCTGGTCAAGACCTTGGATTTAGATCTCTTCTTCACTTACTTTGCTTCTCCGCTTGTTTAGTTTTGCAGCTCATAAAGCATTTCATTTCCCTTGCATTTTATTTTAATTACATTACTCCATGTCTCAAGCCTCCAAATTCTCCACTTTATCCCCTGGTAAGTTGTTTTCCATTTGTTTAAGAAAAGCAGCAAAGCAGCATGCAGGCATTTTCTTGAGATTAATATTTATTTTTTAAGTTTGCAACCTACCACTTGCACTTCCAAAGTCTTTGTACAGCGTGCACCAGATTGTGCAATCCTTGGACTCTACATGCTTTCTTTATTGTTGTTACTGTTATGAAAATATTTAAATATCCGCGTCAGGTTCAGGCACATTCAGCAATCACTGGCCATCCTTAAGAACTTTCTCGGCTCCTGTAAGGCATGATGTCATGCAGCTTTTGAAAAGGGGGCTAAATTACTACTGTAGAAGGTGTTTCAGATTTCAGGATGATTTAGCACAGTTTCATATGTTTAAGTTGGGCCGTGTGCATGTGGTTTTGTCTCCAGCGTCTACTGTTGTGTGTGTTTGTTCAGTGTTTCTAATTATCTTTCCTTCTCTCGTCCAATTGTTTGAACCCTTCATTTGAAAGACTGGTTGCACTTAGCACTTTCAGAGCATGAGGTTAAAATATGGATGCCACATATGTGACTAAATCCCTGGAGTACTTGCTTTTGCAGTGTTACATGATGGCTGTCTTTTTGGAAGACTAACTCTCGCTAACAACAGTAGTATCCAGCAATGGAATAACCCATAACATGTAATGAACTACAGATTGTTACAGAGCTAGATAATCTGGTCAGAAAAGCAAGCATTAAATTGACTAGTTTGAGTTCTGTCTTTGCACTCTGGAAGAAGGTTTTATACAAGAGTGATATCAAAGGCAGCCTGATTCCCCGGTCCGCTCAGGCATATTGAGCGAATCATTTGAAGTGTTATGATGATCATCTCCTCCAAAGCTTTTTTACCCTTACAGCCATTTTAGGAGTTGCAAATTCCACCCCAAGGTCTGTATCCTGAGATCCCTACTCAGTTCTTACTCAAATTTTCATTGACTCTCAGGATTTTGCCTGGAAATGGAATGAGTAGATATTGAGTGAAGATCTAAGTAGTTAGCCCAGTAATTCTTTGCACTTACGAA